CTTACCCTGCCCCCCTCTCTCTGTTTTTCTCTCTCTCTTTCTCCCTTCCTTACCCTGCGCCTCTCTCTCCCTTGCCCTCTCCCTCCCTTACCCTGCCTCTCTCTTTCTCTCTCTCTCTCTCTCTCTCTGCCTTGCTCTCTTTGTGTGTGCGTCTGGACAGCTGCCCAGTTCCATACACAGGGAAAAATGAAACACTCTAACCACCGGGCGTGCTGCCAAATAAAAGGCTGCGAAAAACTATTTGAAGGGCAGTGTGTATGTGTGTGAGTGCGCTCTGGTGTATACGTGGGTATATGTGCTGGCTTGTGAAATCTGGGTGTGCCTGTTTAGGGTGTTCTTTCCCAGTATAATGGTGCAGCTAGGTCGTACGAAAAGTTCAATGGAAAAATGCAGTAGAGGGGCGGCTAGGAGGGCTGTTACTGTCCAGAGCAGGGAGCTAGTGTTAACTGTAAAAACCAATGTGAGAGAGTGTCTTTGAGTTGTGTGGTTGCGGCACTTAGTCACATATTACCCATGAACCTGTCCTCTGACTTATCAGGTGGTTACATCACCAGTGGAAAGGAGCGCACACAGTCCTAAACCTGCTATTGTTGGGAGCTCCTCTGTGCAAATGCTTGAGACTGGTCGATGTTGTTAGCTAGCCAGTGCAGATTCAAAGCAAGATATCCCCAGTAAGGTTGTTGACCTAGCTGTGAAGTGCAACCTTTGACCTCTGATCACAGTCAAGAAATCTGGTTTGAGCCTCAAGGGAGAGTGTCTTGTTATTTTAGATCAGATCAAATGGTTTTAGGCTTTTGTAAATATTAGTCTAGAGTTGAGGTTGTACAAATAGGGGAACAGTGTATTAAAGGTGACGAAGTCTGGGTTGTAAGACTCTTGGTTGTTAAGGGTCAGACTCCCTATAATACTACATAAATTCCTGACCGCTGCCCCCTGCTGCAAGCCAGAAGTACCACATTGAGAGGCTGTATGCCAGATGTTATTCTTACACAAAGCAATAATAATGAGCTTTCTTCTAGTTTATGATTTGATCAGGCTGATTTATAAAAGTGAGTGTTCGTCTTTTATGCTGTAATGTATTTAGTGGATGGCAAAGAGAGAGAAAAGAAAGGGAGGTATGGTGGAGGACCAAGAACAAAAAGCTGAACTAGTGCCAGCTGGAGAGAGGGGGGTAAGCTGCTGAATTTTATTTTTTCCTAGACTTGTGTTTGCTTCCTGTCTAAAACTGCAAAGGTGTCTGTAGCTCCACTTGTGCTGTTGGCTCAGTGTTTGTTTGTCGGTTCGTGGGAGGATACATTTTGGTTGTGATGTTGTGAGTGGAGAGTGCCAGACAGCCTCCATGTTATTCTTCCATGTGTTTTAACCTGGAGCAGCAGGTATTCTAGGGTGGGTTAAATGAGAAGCCATGTGTGTATCAGGTGTCGGTCATCCTATCTCTCTGAGGACTCCTCGTGTGTCCTCTCATGTGTCCCTGACCAGACACATTCACACTTACACACAGACTGTGAAGATGGCATGTGAGTTTGTGGGCGAGTGTCTGTGTGTTTGCTAATTAATTATTTAGGATGGTTTGTTGAATAGATAGTCTCTGTTTTAATTGCATTTCCATAAATGTTTCCATTATCATATTTAATTATGAAGCAATCTATACTGAATGTTGTAAAAACACAATTTACAACCTTGCATATAGTAAGCTATTGCAAATTGTTCAATTCAGTCAGTTATGGTTATAATCACTAAGTACATGTAAAGCAAATACATGTGAAAAATGTTAGTTTGAATGGTAACTTTATTGCCAGTTCTGTGCAGCTCTAGTTTCAGTATTGAAATGTTTACATTATTACACAACAAAAAGATAATTTAGTTTGTGGAGCTATTTTACTATGAAAAAAGCTCTACTCTATGTGTATTGGTCAGCAGGAAGCCAGTGTTAATCATGTGTCAAAATGCTGCAGATCCAGGGTTGAAATTGCTCGCCTCTCCCTTTAACCCTTGTAACTGTAAATCTCAGAGGCATTTTAATCTTTTGCATGTGAAATCATAATTTGGCAGAGCTGTTGAGATGTGTACATTGTGTTGTGTTGCATGCCTGTGCGAACATGCTGAGAGGCAGGCCTGTGGTTAGGTTACATATCCCTGCAGCGCAGCAGAACAGTGTCTTGTTGCGTCACACTGAGTCTGTTAATAACAGGCTAAACCACAAAGGCCATCCTCCGCTCTATTTCTCATCTTCTGTGAGGCATTGATCATGTAGCCATGGTACAATATGCCCCATCATCTTGATACAAGCACACTTCTGTATCTTCAGTTAAGACAAGCTTTAAGATACAGTTTATACAATTACTGAGAATATATTTTAATTACATTTACTAAAATTCCTTCTGTATGCATATCAGCAGTTTATTGTGTTACAAATGACTGGACACTGCCAGAAGAGCTTATGCTGTGCTCAATATCCCATCTCCACCCCACCCCCACCTTTCTCAGCATGTTACATCCTTGCCACAGGAATTTAATTGCTCTGTAAACAAGCCCATTGTTTTGTTGCACACTGTGTGCTCATTGAAGTTGGATGTATTAAAAGCTTCAGCCTCGCCATGAAAAGAATAGAACACCAGATTAGTGAGCGGCAAAACAATGATAAAATGTTCTCACAAAAATGAAACAATTGCTCAAATGAAAGCTATGCGATTGAGTAATGCAGAGGCTTTTGAAGAATGGAAATGGAGTAGATGCCTTGGATGATAACTTGAAGATTGATTGCTGCTATATCAACATTTAGAAACATTATATTTGCCATAGGAGATTGACTGGAATTTTATGCACTGACTATTTCTACTTGTGTGTCCACAGACATATGAGCGGCAATTCAGAATGTCTGAGCAGAGAGAGGGAGGTCTGCTGCAACTTTTGGGAGATCCTACCCCACCCAAGCACCAGCCCCGGCCCACTCCCCTTCCTCCTCACTCACAGCAGACACAACAGTTCAACAGGCATGGACATCAACTCACCCAGGACTGGCTCACATCTACTGTCCAGTCCACTTCACCGGACAATCCAAACCACCCAGAGACCACCAGGAACTCTCTTCTGGAGCAGACACAAGCTTTCTCAGCCCACAGCCCCTCGCCACAGAGGTCTCTCACTCCTGATCTACAATTGCCTGTGGTTACGGATGCCAGCATTCTCAACCTAACATCTCTCAGCAGGTAACCTTTTATTAGAAATGCATTATGGTAGCAAGTAGAGTTCTCATGACACATTTTAATCATAATCATTTTAATACATTTAAAACAAATATCTTTGTACAATATAATTTTATTTTAATTTCAGCTTCATTAATTCCACATGATTTTTAAAACCATTTTCAAACTATTCAGGTAAATATAACTACAACTTACCAGTACCAGGTCATATTAGTATCATGTACCTACTTTTTTGGGCAGTCTGCATTCTCTGTCCAGGGTGCTAAACTCTGGAACTCCTTAAGCCCTCAGCTGAAACTGGACTTAGGAATGGTTTTAAAGGCGCGCTTCAACAAACATTACGGCTTGTCAATCAGTGACCTGTATTTACCATTTACTGTATATTGTCAAATTATACTGTGAATGTGTCTGTATGTTTTGCTTTTTGTAAAAGCCCCACCAGTGATGACATTGCAAATTATTCTTGGCTATAAATGTTGTAGTATGTTACATGACTGATGTACATGCTTGTCCCTATCAAATAAATAAAATGTGTTGTATTATCTAGGTATCAATTTTAAAAATTCTCAGTAATTACAGTACTGTATTTACATTACTTTCAATAATAAAATCTATTATTTATTTTTGAAAGTAATGTATGACATGTGCACTAAAATACGCTGCACACTTATCAAACATCATTACTAACATTACTAACACAAACATTACGGATCTAACAAACACATAATCATGACCCCTGCTCATGCATGGTATAATTAAGGCAGCAAGCAAAAATTATCTTTATATTATAGGCGTTCCAAGTTTCATGTCTGGTGCATGTAGCGTATTTTCTTCTCTATTGTAAACTGCATAAATCCTCTCTATGTGATCTCTAGGGGCAGGGGCTTGCAAGAGGTCAGTGAACAGCTCTTTGGGAACATCAAGAAGAAGTATGGCAGAAAGGAGTCCCAGAAGGTGCTGGCTAATCCTCAGAGTGGAGAAATCTCTTGGGAAAAGCAGCCAGAGAAAGACAGCCCTGCTCATTCGGAGGAGAGGTTGAAATACCGGCATGAAGAAACAAGTGAACAGTATCCAGAGGAGAGAGAGGAGGGGAATCGCGTGACAGAAGAAAGTAAAGGAAGAAAGAGACGGTGGAAACCTTCTTTTGACGAATCTTTTCCCACAGAGTCATCACATCAACGGCACGATAGTGATTCTACTGAGAAACATCAAAACGGGCCACCTGAACCAAAAGTGGCACACAAGAACGACCCCCAAAAGAATGAGATGCATTTCTCAAGTCACAGGGATGGAAGTAGTGATAGATCTGAGAAAGACAGATCAGATAAAAGTGATAAAAGAGAGAAGGGAGAGAGGAGAGATACTCATGACCCAGATCTAAACAAATTTAAGAAAAATCCAGTGGGACGTCCTAAGACTAGCACTGACCCTCTTAAGCATAGAGAACCCACGCACATTAATATGAGCAAAACTAGTCCGTCTACAACTCCGAGACTCCCAAGTCCACACCCCATTTCTAGTCCAAGAGCTAGCATGAGTCCCATTCCAAGCCCCAAACCTCGATCTAACAGTAGTCCAAGCCCTAGCCACAGCATCACCTCTACAGGCAGCTCCAAACCAACCAAAAGCAAGGACAGGTGGTCTTATCTGAAGGCTATGAAACACACAAGTCTCATATCACCCCAACGAGACAACAAGTCCAGCCCTTCACCTTTTGCAGACCCCCCTTCGCCTTTCCCCATCACCCCATCGAGTCCTCTGTACACCAACACCGACAGCCTGACCGTCCACACGCCAATCAAGAGGAAGAGAGGGCGCCCCAAGAAGCAGCCACTTTTGACCGTGGAAACCATTCATGAAGGGACCTCCAACTCACCTCCGAGCCCGCTCTCCCAGGACTCCACTGCAACTCTCAGTCGCAATAGGAAGACGCACACATTAAATTCATTAGTCCATGTGGCTAGCTCTAAACGTGGCAGAGGGCATCGTCCAGTGAGTAGAGTCAAGCTTGGGAAAATGCAAAGTATCCTAAATGAGATTCTGACTGGGTCTAGTCAGGGTGGTCCTCTGAGTTTGAAATCTGCATCAGCTCCAGTCAGCACGGCGATGACAGCAGTGGCATCAACAATAGAGGCGCGGCTCGGAAAGCAGATCAACGTTAGCAAGAGAGGAACAATCTACATCGGCAAAAAAAGAGGGAGAAAGCCACGAGCTGAAACCCAAGATTCAAAATCATCCACCAAGGAGCGAAGTTTGTTTTCTGGTCTCCATGAGAGTGCAGTGCCTTCCACCACCTCCTCTCCTTCACTAAGGGCTGATGCCTCCATGCCCAGTCTACAGCCTATTTCTGCGTTACCCTCCAAGCCGCTGGGACGGGGTTTCCTCTCTGCAGGATGGAAGTTGTCTCCCCCACGTCTTCTGGCTAATTCACCATCACATCTTTCAGAAGGGGCATCTGTGAAGGAGGCAACCTTATCCCCCATCAGCGAGTCCCACAGCGAGGAGACCATCCCTAGTGACAGTGGGATTGGTACTGACAACAACAGCACATCAGACCAAGCGGAGAAGGGGCCTGCCTCACGGCGCAGGTGAGCAGATCTGCTTAAATTTTAATATAGCTTTTAATAAGACAATAATAAGTTACATAAGTTATCACACCGCAACTATAATTTGACTGTTACTTCATGTGTTCTTTCCCCTTGCTGTAGGTATTCCTTTGATCTTTGTGGATATGAGACTCCTGAGGCAGCAGCTCTTGAAGCCTCCAGCCGAGGTCGTAGGACACACTGTGAGCGGCAGGTGACTTCAGTGGATAACTTCCTTTCACAGCAGGAGAAGAAACAGAAACATCACCGAAGAAAGAGGAAGTGTTTACAGACCCGTGATCATCTGCACTTTCTGGCTGAATTAGAAGAGGTTAGAAAAGTCCACATAAACAAAAGTCTTTCAGTTTTTTTAATGGCTACAGTAACATCTTGTTTGTTTTTCAGGTGGTCTTAAAGCTACAGCAGTTAAGAGTATCTCACCGGCGATACACTTGCTACCCACAGCATCCATATCCCTCCATATTCCGCCTAAACTTCCACCATTTCTACCCCATGACATATGACTCCTATCCCTGTGAGCCCAGCCCCTACATGCGTCGCAGTGTTGAGTTGAAGGCAAAAAGGAGACGAGGTCGTCCAGCCAAAGCCAGCGAGCCAATCACATCAAAGCTGCCTTTTGTACAAGGATATGGCTATCCCTTAGCAGGAGGCAATTACTATGCAGCGCCCTATGCCATGCCTTATGCTCCCCCTCTGGGTCTGGGATATTTCCCTCCTGCTCCACCATTTTACCTGCCCCACCCCTCGCTAGGACCAGCACCTTCCTCGCCCTTCATGAGGCCAGCTGTCCCCCCTCCCAAGGCCTACCATTCTGCAGCTCACGCAAATCTCCAGCCGGGCACCAAGCTCCATGGAGCCAGTGGCTCAATGCAGGGGGCTTCAGTGAGAGCAGAGAGCCTGGCCAATAGCAATGCAGGTGGTCTTCGCCTTCACAAGAGGAAACACAAGCACAAACATAAGCACAAAGATGAGCCGCTGCTGTCTCCACGGGACCACCAGGATCTGGGAGGACTCTTCAGTGGGGCCAAAGCGAATGCACGCCTGAGCATGATGACAGAGAGGAGAGACTTCAGTCAGGCCTCGTCCAAGCCTCTAGAAAAGCAGAAGAACACTGGACGTGCACCAAGCTTAGGGATATTCGGGGAGGACCCAAATCAGCAGCCTTCTCACTCTCTCTCTGACAACCAGCTCACTCTGCGTCAAACTGGACAGCGAATCAAAAGCTTCTTGAACAGCTACACTAGTGAGTCGCAGCGGCCAGAGCCTGGTTATGACCTGTTTCTGGGGGCACAGGAGGAAGGCAACGGACGAGGCAAAAAGTCAAGTATGTTTGGAGATCAAGGCCTCATGTCGTTTCATACTGCAGGTCAGCAGCCTGGACAAAGCAAGTGTCCCAGCCCCTCACTTACAGGTAAGAGAAGCTTATAATGTTATACAAAATATTGTTATTATTTATTTGGTCAGGACAGTGTGTGTTAATGAGTACTTACGAGAAACATACTCACTGGAAAGCAATATGTCCAAGAAGTGCCTTGCTCAAGGACGCATCAACAGTATGCACTGGTCCAAGTGGGCTGAACTCGTAAGTGCTGATTACTGATTGCATATTTAGGATAATTCTTAATTGGTCTACTGTATTCTTTTGTAGAATCCTCTAGTTAATCAAACTTCATTTGCACTATTGCATAAATGACTTATGTACCTATTTTTTGTTGTAAACATAATTTTGTGTTCATATTGCTATTAATGATTTAATACATGCCATATGTGCTGCCCAGTATGGAAGTAAACCAAACAAAGAGGCAGAGCAGTCAGACAAAAGAGCAAGGTAGTCCTGTCTCTCTCAGAAGCTGAAACATATTTTGGTACATTCTGTATTAGTCTGTCTTGAGCACATCTGGCTGGGATAGAAAGAACGTAATGCATGGATAGAGATGACTATAATTCACCAATCTCTCCGTCTTCTACCTCCCTCTGCCGTTGCCAATGCCTTTGCCAGAGATATATTATTCACACAGTGTGATTTATTTTCTACAGACACGCCGTAAAAGGCCCTTGCCTGTGTTAAAAGAGCTGGCTAGCAGCCAGGGGTTTAATGACTGGGGCCTAGTCCAGTAGTAGGGGAGGAGAAGCCAGGGGCTCCGAGTACACCCCCACCCCAGGGGAACCGGCACGGATGACTCACGTAGATCCCCCCTCTCCCTCAACCATCCCCCTGGTTGAGAACCCGCAGTCTTTTTCTACCTTTCTTCCTTTTCGTCCTTCCTGGTCCCTCTTGTGCTGTTTCTGCACTTCTTGCCCTTGCTCTGCTCCTGTTCCTCCCCCTATCCCACATAAACATATCCCTGGTTAGTCCTTTTCCCTCTCTCTCTCTCCTCAGTCTACCCTCCCCCTTGTTTCCCCATTACCCTTCTCCTCCTCATCCTCTGCCCCTCCTCTTTCAAGACTTACTGCTTCACTTAACAGCTTTAGTCCAATTAAAATATGAGCACCCGTGCCCAAGAAGCGCATATATAAGAATATGAATTTACAGAGGCAGTTAAGGATATACAGTCATTGCCTTTTAAACACATAATAGTGTTTGCAACAAAGCACATCTCCAACTATGTATAACTTGCATGATGTTTTTATACAGTTGCTTTCAACACATTTGGATGCTCTAGTGTGGTTGTGTAGTGACTTCCTATCCTACAGAGAAACAGGTCCTCAGTGCTATATGGCCCCTCTCACTGCTGAAGGTCACCGGTTTTATGTTGCGTGTATGCAGCTCATAAATTTCTGCTACTTTGTGTGTGTGTTAGAGAGTGGGATGGGAGCACACTTGTGTGTAGCTCATAAACTACTGCTACTTAGTGCTTTCTGCATTAGACTAATTTCACTGGCTGGCCTTAATTCTTCAGTAACAATAAGGAGTGATGTTCCCTTGAGTTTTAAATGGATGTGGCTCATCTTTATCTTCTCTGTAATCACAGCGACCTGTGCCCCAATACTGTTAAAGGTCTGATTTAACTGATTCTATATCTCATTTGTTTATCATCTTTATATACTGTGGTTGGTGACGCTTCAGATCCAGGATAATGTAATTATATATTTTTATATTGAAAACTCATGTGGCACATGAGCAACATTGGAGGTTTGGTCAGGGAACCCAGCAATTGCTGTAAAAGCTCATAAAAGCGACCCTGCATGTTGTGCACGCCGCTCAGGGACTGGTGTCTGATTGTGCTTTTCCTCCATTTTGGCTGTGCCTCAGCCTCAGCCCTGGGAACAGTGCCCAGACAGCGAGGAGGGAGGAGTCTCCAAACAAGACAGGGATACAAACAAAAAGAATGACAGACACGGACAAGACCAGGAAGCATTCTGAAACTGAGAAGGAAATCGAGTATGGCAGTGCTACCATTTTAATTGAAATATGAAAGATGTAAACTGGTGTTCAAGGGTTGAGTGGAACTGAGAATTATGGGTAAGAGAGGAACAGCGTGTAAGGGGCATAGTGCCCAATCACCAGTGTGAAGGGAACAATATGGCTCCAATTTCTTGAGCTCAGCCCTTTTGAACTGCTGAAGCCTTGGTTTGTGTGTGTGCAGTTTGTGTCTTTTCAATTGTGTGGATGTGTAAGCAGATAAATGCATCAGTATGCATGTGTTTGTGAGTGGCATTCTGGCAGTCTGGTCTCCAGATGCACAGGGTTGTTATTGTGTAGCAACATTAAATGGTTGAAGGAGACATTTCTGTGGATTTCCTGCTTAGCAGAATGGGATCTCCTCCTCTCCACTCTCCTCACAGCTCTCTTATAGACAATTACAGGATAGGATATGCTCTCCTGGCTCAGCTGGGCTTTCAAAAGCTACATGAATATGACCGAATTAGCAGGAAGCTCTTGAAGCAAAATAAGAGACTTTTTTCACCAGCTAAAAGGGTGTCTTTTATGAGTTCATCCTGACTAAAATATTACCATAAAATTTGACTTTTTCGACACATTCTGCTTGTCTATATCTGCTTTACTCAGTAACACCTTGCTTATGATCAATTTCTTTGTTCACAGGTGCTGCTGGTAAGCGAAGATACAAGCGCCGTGAAGTGGAGCAGATCCAGAATAATGTAAGAAGGATGCATTCACTGAACTTTGAGCATGTGCAGAAGATTCTGCGTGCCAAGCGCCTGCAGCGCCAAGCCAAAACAGGAAACAATGTCATCAAGAGGCGACCAGGACGACCAAGAAAGCAGCCTGTGGAGTGTGTGGTGGCCAGCGGGCTGGAGCAAGGCTTGGACTTGTTGTCTGATAGAAGAGCTGATGGGAGGACTCTGGGGATGCCGGTGCTGGAGAGGTGTGATGACCTGCCAGGCAGACAGAGTGTCAGGCCCAGTCTGACCCCTGAGGCTCTGGAGTTCTCCAATCATGACTCTATCGCAGCCACAATAGAGACTGTGGTTCATCAGGCCACTTCTGTGCCTCCAGCTAAAGGTGGGAAACGCAGGGGCAGGCCCCATAGCAGGGACGACTTATGGGCTCCCTCCAGTCAGTAATTTGACAAGAGACAAGGACTGTCTGAATCCTCTGAGCACAGGGAGAGAAGTCAGATGCAGTGCCCTTATTCTGGGACTTCTTGGTGCACTTTGATTAGATAGGAAGAAGGGACACTCATTGTGCCATTCCTGTATTTGCTACATTCAAACCAGACATGAGCCTTTTACGTTTCCTCTGATCTTTATTTAACATGGCACTATATGGTACTCTTTGATACTGATCCAATGCTATAGAAATCTATGTGTACTTGGTCCTGATAGGGTAGGATAATAACGTAATTCTTATGTTTGTGACATGGTGATGTGTATGGTCCTTTATGATGCTATATCTGAATGTGGCTTCAGCCATATATTTACCAGCAGGGGGATGGGGAAGTTGTATTAAACTGTGCATCTCTGCTTATCTTTGCCTTTCTATGAAAGTTTGTCAAAGATTTGTATTACAGCAGTATTAAAGCCACCTTATCCATTGACTTGGCCCCCTCTATATATTTTGTTGTTTCTGTTAAAGGCAGAAGATTTTTAAACCTCATCTTTTATAGCTGATGTCTTTCGACAAACCTTGTTTGTTTTATTCTTCCATGCTCGGGCCTCTCTGGCAGTGAATTAAAGGCAATATGGTGGAAGAGATTGTTGAGACTGTACATAGAAACTACTTTTGCCTGCCGTGTACAATGGAAAACCAGCTTATAGACATGTACTGGCATAAAATATGTCAAATAGATCTGTTGTACTATAGACAATGAAAGATGTGTATTGTTTTATAACCAAAACCAGACATGGGTGTGACTCAAAACAAGTTTGTTTTCAGACTGAACCACATAGTCATTCATACGTTTCATTACTGTGTACTGTATATATCCAGGGGGCATTACAGTATAAAAGTGAATCAGGTGTATTCTTGGACAACCTTAAAATTGGTTTAATGCACTATTGAACATACCCTTGCATCAATCAAATGCAGCACTTACATGCTAGTCCCAGCCTTATGTTTGATCCTGTGATGGTGAACCATTACAGAGAGCATGCATTATTTTAATCAAATTGTATATGCAGGCTACGCAGCCAAAAGCGACAAAGCAACGCCCTGATCCAAATAGGGGCTCCCTCTCATTGTTTTGAAAAGTAAATCCCTGTTTTTCTATTTAACACATCCAGAGTAGTAGGTTTAGAAACCAAAGTAACAGAATTCAGTTTAAGAATGTGTTTTGTTATATTGATTACTGTGTCACTGGCACCAATAAAAAGCATTCCTATGTGAACTCAGAATGTAGCTATCCTGGATGTTCATGTTGACATTATGCTTCACTCATCTTTACAGTGTTTGTGGCACATAATAGTGCTTGTCTTTTCTTCAAAATATTATTTCATTAAAGAAGCAAGCATAGTCTGTTTGGTGGGAATATTTCAGTTTCAGCGATTCAACTTGTGCCTTATGTTTTTCTTTCAATGATTTTAACCTAAAACAGTGTTAGTGTACCTGACCCAAAATATGAATGTGTCTTAATCTGTCACACAGATCATGCCACTGTCTCCCACTCTGATGTTATTGTAGATCACATACTTAGATATCACACCACTCAGCTTTAGGCCTCCTTCCAGCTGACTCAGTATCATCAGTCATTGGACAGCTAAGTGCTGGGCAGAATAGCAGCAGATGATGTTGCCATGGAGAACACATGCTCATACATTGTTGTTTGCTATGCATCAGGCCATGCCTTGCAATGACCTTATAAGGAAATTCAGTTCTGGGTCCACCCTTCATCATAAAAAGTGGTATTTTCATTCATATGGACAGAATTGTGAATACTAGTAATAATTTGTGCAGAAAGTGACTATCAATACATGAACTATAGTTACTGCAGCTCCATGCAGTACAGCCTTAAGCAGATGTATCTCTAAGTATTGAAGTGTTGTTGTTCTTAGTGTTATTAAGTCCATCTAGTATGAATGTTGGCTAAGCTTTGCTAGGCTCAGGCTATTCCCTAACTCACCAGTCATCTCTTCTCTTCTAAAATCACTATTGTGTTGCAGCATTTATTGGAGGTCATTGGCACAGTCCTTGAAAATTTACATGAAACAAAAATTATAATAAAAAACCTACAGGGGTAGTGAGGTATTTGGATAATTAAGGAACACCAGTAAACAAAACATGCAGCACCTAGATTTTAGGTAGCAGAGGGAGGTGCATAATAAAGTCCTGTGTTTAGTCTGCAGTGGTTAAAGGAGACTATGCTCCATGAGTTTTAGGGACCTCTCACTTCGCAGCTCAGCCCTCTATACACTGGCCTGTGATAGGAGACTCGAAGAGCTAGGAGTCAATTCTGTCTTGTCTGTCTTTTCTACCAGCCAATGCTCCGGTGCCTTCTAACACTGACAAGTATTGTCCAAACCCAGAGCTTTCACTTTACACAGAGACTACAGATGCATGATGCAGTGAAGAGAGCTACTCTTGAGTTTATCAGTCAGGCTGGGCCAGTGGCTCCAGGAGAAATACAGATGTAATAATATGACTGCATTAAGGGCAAGGCAGTAGTATTTTCTCTAGATCATTGAGTGGGATCCTCATCAGCAGTTGTGTGTGTGGTCATTCTCACATCACCCAGATCTAAGCTATAATGTTCAAAGCTGGAAATGCAGACAAGTCTTTGATGAAAACCAATAAATGTACTTATTTTGAGCACAAAGACAGCTCTTCTAACTGTGTGGGCATATTTGAGTTTGTATACAACCTACTATATTCAAACCTTTTCTAAAGTGGGTTTTCATTATTTGCATGCTCAACCAGATTGTATGCATAAATATTTTAGACAAGGCAAAAGTTGAATTAAAATTACATTTGGAGCAGATCTTGTACATTGTTTGATATGTTTCTTTTTGTAATGAATTTTTTTAATTCATGAAGCATTTTTGTACATTGTATTAATATTAAAAAACTGCAAATATTTGACATATAGAGTAAATACTAGATGCGCATGCATATGCATATATCCTTCAGGTATGTATGTGTAACTGTACACATATATTTTGTATTTGCATTGGCCAGCATACAGATATATGTCTTAAGCACATATGTACATGCAATATATGTATATCCATGTCTGCTGGCATGCTTTTGGACATGTTTATGATCTTGTAGGTTATTTTCTGTATTATAATTTCTCTTTCCTCAGAAAGAAAAGCTCATTATTTTGCTAACCTTATGTTGGCTGGCAGCATTGAGCACTTATAAAGAAGAACTACGTCGAAGTTGTTCATGTCATCCATTGTGTGAAATAATAAATGACTTTATTGACAGCTCATGGTGGTACTTCTCTCATTCTTTGGGGGGATTGTGTTTTATTGAAAGCTCTAATCTACTTAAAGCTCCACAGTTACATGTCAATAAACTCAAGAGTCACAGAGCTAATGTGTGGAAATGCGGGATGCTGCATGCATCACTGGTATTGTGTTGCCGTCAGATGGTCACAGCTAATGAGTCTCCAGCCCATGGTGGTGGCATATAGTGCTTCAGAGTAGGGAAATCCTCACTCGCTCACTATCACTCTGCACACATGCCTGCACTGCACTGCACTCTCATGTTCATTAGCTAAGCCTACATCTCTAAATCCTGCCCGCACTAGTCCAGCAGTGACAGGTCTTGGAGGGTTGGGCTGCTCGCTGCCTTCTTATTGGATGAGGATAAGTGGGAAGTGCCCCACTATTGGCTGCTGCCAACTAGTAAAATTCTTCTGTTACCATGGTTGCAGGGTGAGCTGCCCAAATGTGTGTATCTTGTGGTACTGATCGTACTGTTGGCACCACTGAGCCTGAGCTGAAAAAAACCTGTGATGAAAGTCAAGGCTGCACCCACAGCACACAGCACTCATCCCTGTAAATGAGCCCACATGGCTGTGCACCTCCTCCAGCAGGAACACAGGACCTGCATCAGTGAAACAGCCCAACCACCGCAGGAGAGAGGCACCACGAGGTCGAGTGAGAGCCCGTTACACTTGACACTTCAAAGCAATGATTTCTTCTCAAGTTGCAGCGTCATCTTGAGTGTAATTTGACAAAGCTCAATGTGAAGATGGAGCTCAATGAATTTCAATGACATATCTGCAAGCTATGTAACATTATATCATAAATGAATAAGCCTGAAATAGAAGCACTTTGAATAACTTCACTCAGTTATAAATGATGTAGAGATATGAACTGAGCAAGTGAGGAAGATGACACAACATTTTAACATAAGATTTTGTGGCTGGAGCTTCACTGCAGCTTTTTCTTCAATTCAGTGTAACCTGCTATATAATATACTTATATTATCAGGTTGGCTATACCACAGACAACCTGTTCAAAAACAAGTCTTTTTGCATATAGCATTACTAATAATATTCAAAGCTGAAGTTACCCATTTCAATATTTTGGCCAGGAAACTGTGCAAAAATGACTAGAAAGCTGTGAATAAGCTCTATGTGGTTAATTCCACACAATAAATGAGTATTAGTCACTGCCAACAGCACAGAGCCTCCTAAGTGCCATGTAACTGAGTAATTTATCTGTGTTGGTGTTTTCAGAGAATGACTGTTGCTGCTGTTTATTAAGATGGATAGGACAGGGAGCATGTGCACCCCACCCCCCCGCCCTCAGCGCTCTGTCATGGCAGCGCTGGAAAGACACCCTCTGGTGGTGGAACACATCGGTGCTGCTCAGAGCCCTTCAAAAGCCCAGGGCTCCTGTCACACCCACCGCAAACAGAGCATCGCTTTACCTGTCTTGTCCAAGTGGCACCTTGAGAATGCACTTTTTTCTACTGCAGTGAATGGTGGAAATCTGACCTGCGATTCAAATACACAACTCAATGCGTTATTCATTGATCCACTTGAAAGATCAGTGCAGGAATGAGTGGCACGGGAAGTTATGCGCGGCTCAAAGATAATGCGGGAGATATGTGACACACAGAGAGAGAGAGAGACAGAGAGAGACAGAGAGAGGGAGAGCTGTATGGAGCCGCAGTTGCCACGGTGACAGGGTGACTCACGGCAGTTTGACTCTGTCCCCAGCTTCTCCTGCTCCGTGTCTGTCAGGTTTGTGCGCGCATGTGATGTTAGTTATGCAGCCTATATGCAGTGCTGTGGAAATAGCTTTAAGCAGGATAAGATGCTCACTAGAGACATTCTGATCTGATCTTGGTCCTATATCCTGTCCAATGTCAATGTTCAAGATGAAGTGCCCAGACCTGAGCTCAAACTTGTGATGTTGTCAAAAAGATAAATAATTTCGTTAAAACGTTGTAGATCTAAACAATAAACTGGATTTCAAAATAATGTGGACATGTCAGTGCAGTAGCCTGTTATAAAATGTACACAATGAATTCAACATCTGCAAGCAACATTTGCACAACTAAACTGAAGTCTACACTGTTCCCTAGTCAAATACATGAACATGTACAAAAAACAAAAAGATTTTGAGCTCTGCTCAAACTCCTTGTCATGTGACTCCCTTTACAGTCAGTGCCATTGTTAGTATCTTGGCTCTGGATCGTATTAATGATGTGAACACTTAGGTAATGTGGGTTTTTGATGAGAGAAGGCCACTTAATCTCTCTATTCAGGCCTTCTCCCTCACACACACTCCTCCTCCCTGGTCCTCCTAATAAGCTGTCGTTCTGTCTCCTGTAATTTGGCAGACTGGTCTATTATATGATACAGTCATATTTTATTAATGGACCCCCTGCAGGGAACACACACACCCCTTGGTGAATGAGATTATGTGACGCACAGGGAGCATGCCTCCACGTTAAAAATGATTTCAGCTCCTGGTTGGTTTGGGTCCGTGGTGTTTGTGGGTGTGCAGAGCAGAGCTGGAAGGCAGCACCACAGGCATTTGTGCTGAAGCTGGCACAGCTACACACTTCATTACACCTGCATCAGCTCAGAGATGCATAACATCACTGCAATTTACAGACCTCCAAAACAACAAAATAAAAGATGGGGCCCAGATATCGAGTTTAACATTTACTGGAAGACAATAATTTCTCTTGTATCTGTCTCAGCTTTTTGGCAGTGTTCACACTTAAGGTTTCAGCCATGCATTAATAGACTCGCATCTCAACACTGCTCTCTCTATAACTGAGCTGTTTATTGTTACAGTGATGTATTCTGATGATATGACTACAGCCATTTGGTTCTCTTACCTTTGTCAGTGGATGCATCCTAGAGTTTATTCTAGAAACTGTGGGCTGGAAGTTAAAAAAAAAACATGACAATTCACATTAGCACACATATTCACAAATTACAAGACAGTGCCAGTGCCTATAAGATCCACCTCATAGTAAAAGTTAAAAAACTAAATTATCGGGACAGAACCACATTTATATGGATAATCCAATCCTAAAATCCAAAGAACACACCCTTTAGTGACCAGTTAGTCACACAACACCTCTTTCTGATTAATACTCTTTTCTCAGTCCATTTCAGCTGTGCCCACATAGAGCCCATAGAGTACAGTGATAACACTCAGACTCTTGTAGAAATGACAATTCTCAACAACCCAAGCCCACATGACTCATTTACATATTCAGATATTCTTGGTGAAGGCAGCGGAGAAGAGATGCACGCCACAGTAAACAAATCATTAGTCCACATAAACCTGATATAATTATAGAGTATGTTACAATATTTCAAAGACTTTCATATTTCTCTGTTGCAAGGTCTTGCAGTGAAAGCTTGTTTAGTATAGCTCCATACACTGTTAAATAAACTAACTTCCCCCTAATGAGCTGACCTAGACTGGTTGGGACACACCAGTGGATTATCATTATCACAATGTTTCAGTTCTTTAGATTCAGCAGCAGCTTGTCAAAGATTGTCTCACAAGCAGATCTGATGATTCTAGCTTCAGGAAAGAGTCCAGGACAACAAATGGAAGGAAATAAGATATTTACTGTATCACATGCTTTTGTTATGTGCGCACATCCAAGGTTTTTACATGTGCAGAGAGGCTGTGTGAGAGAATCTGCCATGTGCGATCACATAATGAAGCAGCCAGCTGTCAGGTAGGCATAAATGTTTAACACCATGTGACAGGCAAGGCACACATCACCACGGCGACAAACGTGTGCTAACAGCTCGTGGAGGAAACAGCACTGAGACACTTCAATCATTATTCACAATCGACGGCAAGGCAAGGCAAGTTTATTTGTATAGCACAATTCTACACAAAGTACGGTAATTCAAAGTGCTTTAAAGAATAAGAAATACATTAAAATCACAATACTAACAAATCAAAACAATTAAATTAAATAATTATCATAAAATTTACATTAAAAGATAATTACGTATGATTGCAAAATATGTGGTTTATACATTGTATAAATACATTAGTGAAAAGTACACATTTATGTATACAAAAATGTAACATGTCTTTTATGTGACTTATGTATTATTGTATACTTATGTATTATGTTTGAGCTCAATACATTTGTCTTTTTTATTGCTGTTTTCAAATCTTCAAAGTCTTACTCAGGACGTTTTATATGCAATAACATCGATTGTTTTAATATATAAAATTTGAAAAAGAAATAGGTTGACACAACTCAAATATGTTCTAAAACAATTAATTTATCGCACCGGGGTAATATACATCTTTTGTACTCTTATGTGAATTATTGATACCTAATAAAAAGCCACTATACAACCCATAGTAAGATGATAATGATAGCATTTTGAGGCATCATTAAAAAAACACAGATTTGCCATAAGTAGGTTAAGTAAATCTGTTTGCAAACAGGTAAATACATAATTTATATTCCTGATAAAAAAAAATATGTCATATCACCAGCAGTCATATGGCATTGGTTTTAATTGCTTGGATGCACAGCAAATCAACATAATGAATACATACACCCCTAGGCTACCACAATAATTACTCCAATATAAAGCAATAGTGATAATGAGATTAAATGAATCAGTGTTGGTGTGTGGTAATTGTCCATAAAGGTTTTTTCAGAATGCTCTAATTATGTGTCTGAAGTGGATATGAAGAGCTGCTAGGTACAGGCTGACCTGCTGCACCTCTGCATTGGAATAACAGTATAGTGCTTTTCCCCCCGCCTGCTCCAGCCTTGATCCAGATTACATAACCGCGCCATTATTTTTCCATCCAGTGTCTTCGTCTCCCCATCAGACTGACAAGGCACATCCAAACAAGGCAATAATAATCACTGGCTCTTCTCTTTTGATCAGTCTATTTGTCAAATCCCATATCTTCAACGTTTTCTGCCTCAACACACCACCAACAAACCAACTGCATTTGTC